TTTGATTCAAACTTTTTTTTTAAATAATCATTAATTCTAAAAAATGTTTTATTATTTTTCTTTAAATTGAAATTTTAAAAAAATTATTAACGTTTATTTTTAAAAAAATTTTAAAATATTTGATATTTTGTAATATAAAATTTCCGCGCTACGCTATAGTTGATTAATAAATCTTTTAACATTTCATTAGAAAAAAAAATATAATTACGCCATATATTTACAATAATTTAATTTATAATTTTTTTAAACCTTTTTACATTTTAAATAAAAAAATTTATATACACCATATATTTATAATTTTTAAAATTTTTTAATTATATATATTTTTTTAAATTCGACTAACTTCTATTTATTACATTTAATTTTTTAAAATTAATTTTATGCGCACGATAAGATCATTTTAATTAATAAATTATACAATATATTTTTACTTTTAAAAACCTTTAATTAACTTATTTAATTAACTTTTAATACATTATTATTATTAATGTCATAAATTTTAAATTTTAAATTAAAATTTAATTTCATTTTAATTATCAAATATCTCTGCGCTTTCCCTACTTGTTCCTACCTCCGGTATTATTTCCCTCCTTTTCTTACTTTGTGTCTGTAAAAATTTATAAATTTCATATATTCATTTACTTTATTATTCATTTTTCTCCTCCCTTATTTTATCTAATTTACCACATCAGTTGAAGATTCCTCATTCTTTCTTTTAGGCAGATGATTTCCTTTTAATAGCTCATTTATTGGCATGTGTCCTTCAATCTTCTTAATGTCATTTAAGTTATTCACCTCTAAATATGGTGGTTTTACTGTTAAATTTAAAACAGAACATAAATATATATATATATATATTGTAACGCCGCAGTCCGCTGCGGCGGAGCAGCGTCCCGCCGCCGTCACAAGGCGCGGGTTCGCGCCCCTTTTTACCGGACCGGCAGCTGCATTGTCGAGATGAGACCGAGATCTCCGGGAGGCCCGAATTGAAAACGCGTACATTTTATTAATTTGCTTTGAACCTCTTGTATGTACCGCGGCACCTCACCGGACAAACGGATCGACGAAGGAGAGGAGTCAAGGTCGCTGACGGCGGAAAA